GGAAACACAAATTGAGGACCAATCTGCACCTTATTGATGACCCGTGGCGTTAATATACTGCATCTGTGCCAGCGCGTGATGTAATAAAACTGCAGCTCGTTAATAAACTTAAAAAAAAAAATCTATTTTATACAATCTGCCTTCATTTAGCAAATGTACTGGCGCATAAACAATTTTCAAGTTCAACACTTTTTGTTCCGTTCAGTTGTGGATGCTGCTGATTCACTGAGACCGCCGCGGCTCAGCAAAGAGACATGCGTGTGTGTGTGTGTGTGTGTGTTTTCCTTTGAAAAAGTTTCCCCAGAAATACCTCGCTATTTAATGCATTTTTCCTTACAAATTCTATTATCAGCATAACAATTTGAGTAAATGTGTAAAAGGTATGGGATGAATTTGCCATCCTTCTAGAACAATGTGCATTTATGTTAAAATTGTAACATAAATGATCAAGTTTAGTTATTCTTATTTCTTTATGCAAAACGCTAAAACTGGCACCGTTTTGGAGAGAAATGGGCTCTCATTTGAACCCATATCATGGTGTGTGATGCTGAACTATAGACTACTGCAATAAATATTATAATTAAACTTTATTTGGAGTACTACTTGTGCACGATGCACATTTCTTAACGTTAAGCCCAAAATGTGTTTTAATGTCCCTATTGATGGGGACCTTGTATGATCTTTGATTTATACTGGTGTTTAAATGCAAGATATTTTGAAGTGTACCTAAAGTATACTTGCAATAGTTCCACTTTAGCACAATCAAATATACTTCATTATATCTTTATTTGGACTTCAGCAGTACTTCCGCACAATTAAATTGCGTTAAGTACAAAATTAGTTGTTCCATTTAGCAGACTTTATGTAAACCAGTTTAGTATACCAAAAGTACAATTATAGGGTATTTTTAGTAAGTACATACATTTGTAAATATATACTTAGCATGAAATAAATATATTTCAAATACATTTAAGTATATTTATTTTTCACAGCCTTGGTGAGCATACGAGATTTTTAAAAACATTAAAACATCTCAGCTATATATAATCTTACCTATACACACACACACGTATACTGTCATGCACATTATAAGGCTATACTAAAGGGCTAAGCTTTTGTTGCCTTTTTTTTTTGTATCAAAGGCCAATGTGGTTTGCTGGCAGTAAATCGAGCTCCGTAAAAACACACACAGCAGTCATGATTTCCAGCACTGACTGACTCAGCATGAATAAAGAGCTTCATGAAAATGTGTCCATAATTACCCTAGCTCTCTCCAGGTGTCCTTATCCATTCATCTGTTTTTTTTCTTTTTCTTTTTTAAATTCTTCCTGTGGTGTAGAAACAACTTTACTTCCATTTTAATGCAAAAGCTCTGAATGCATAACATGGGGTCCAAAAGTCTGAGACCACTAGTGAAAAGGCCTCATATTTTGTTTTTTTTCTTGATTTTTAATACATTTTCCCTTACAAATTATATTCTCAGCACAACAATTTAAGTAAAAGCAGAACTGAAATATTAACATGAGTTATGCCGAGTTCACACTGCACGATTTTAGCCCGATTTTTCACTCGCCGACAGGTTTTGCGAAATCGCCGACAAATGCCCGACATCGGAGGCAAATCGGTGCTCGTTCGTATATCGGAGGCAAAATGAGGTTATGGGCATCCAATAAACTTTGCAACAAGGTTAGAGTCACATAGCAGGACAACATTCTTATCATCACAGTATGTGTGTGTAGGATTGACCTTTACTATACTGTATAACAGTTAGTTCCGGTCCTCTAATTTGATTGGTTGTGTTAACAGTGTTTTAAGGGGACTGACATCACTGGGACTTTTCTCTGTTTGTATCAATCTACCTGTCTGGATTTGTTCCAGACATACTGTCTGTCTGCCATTTTACTTCATGCTAGATAGTTACACCAGTAGGTGGTGCTAAGTGACTGTCTTTATGAGTGAGTCACTGAATCATTTACTCACATGATTTGTTCAAAAACACTGATTCATTCAGGAACAAAACACCACTGCTATGTTACTCAGAGATGAATAGCAGCTAATTCTGTTTTTGTTTTTCGTTTGGAATATATATTTAATTGGCAGAGGAAAAAAAGAGACAAAATAACCTGCTGTATCATGACTAAAATGTAAGTGAATAAACATAATTTTTTGTCTGTTTAACTGTTTAAAATTACCTGTGGCACTTGGCCTGTGGCCTATTGCTTACGGCCGAATCACAGTCTTGAGATATTTAAAACAAAAGCAGTCTTGCTTGTGCGGTATTTCTTAAATTTAGTAGGCTATATGTATACGTTTTTGTGCTTGTCACTGGCACATATTCTTACTAGAGGCTCCTTTTTAAGGGTTGTACATTGCTAATGATGACTAAATAGCAGTTTTTTTAATAGATGTACACTGCCAGATCATCCAGACATTGTAACTGCTAATTAAAACACCAAAACTATTATTATTATGGAAATTATCTGTTGTTTTGGCTTGTATTTGAAGTTTTTTACTATAAAACTGTTGAAATACTGTAGCACTTAATGCATTTGGTTATAAATGCACAACTGTTGCTTTCATTCCTGGTAGCCCTGGATATGTACATAAATTATGCATACATGGTTTGCAAATTGCTGGGTTGAGAAACAACGGGCTAAACTACTGAAGCTCTGCTCTGTGTCAGCTATTTTAGGCAGGGGATCCATATGGAGAAGATGCTGTTATCTCCATTCATAGTGATCCATGTGAACTGTCACTCAGTTTTTTCATATGCACCATGTGACTGCATTTTCATGTTTTATGGCACATCTGATTAAACTGACTCAACTGTGAATCCTAAAAAGTGTGGAGCTCATAAACTGTGTACACTTATACTGGAGTGTTTGTAGATGATAATGAGAGTTTGGTTCTCCATGGGAGATGTTTGTAAATACGTGTGTTAAGATGAGAAGTCTAAAGGGAGTGTGTATAAAAACGTTTTTTCCCTCTGTAGTATTTAATAAAAACCACACAGTAATGTATTTCTTATGTACCGGTTAATAGTTAATTCATCATTAGCCCTACATTATTAATGCATTATGCAATGTTATGCAGTATCCATAGGCACAGATTTGAGAGTGGATGACATAAACATATTGGGCCAAAGAGGATGATTTCAGCTTTAGCTGTATGTAAAGTGGTTCTTGCCTGTTAAATGCTTTGTATGCCAAGACAGTGGTTTTGAACTTGATCCAAGCAGGGATGGAAGCCAGTGTAGGGTGTGGAGCTCAGGTGCTGCGTGTATCTATGAATGTTGAATATTGGCCAGTTAGCAGGTGCCCGGATCAGCTGCAGAAGCTTGATTGCATATGCTGAGAGTCCAGGAGTGAGTAGCAGCAAAATCCCTTTAAAGCAGGTCAGCTCATTCGCTAGCCATCTTGCTAATACTACTTGAAAAGAGAAAGAATGAATAAAGCAATAAATCTGTAATCTTAAAATTTGCTGTAGCTACCCTAGTCAAAAATATATATACTAAAATACGAATACGTAATACTAAAATACGAATACGTACTAAAATACGTAAACTACGAATACTTTTACATATTTATGTGCTTAATAAAAATACCCTGCAATTGAACTTTTGGTATACTAAACTGGCATTCTTAAGTCTGCTAAATTGAAACAACTAATTTTGTGCTTAATGCACTTTAATTGTGTGGAAGTAGGGTTGAGGTCCAACTAAAGATATACTTAAAGGCACAATATGTAAGTTTTCGCCGCTAGAAGTTGCATGTTCAAAACAATAACGAAGACGTAGCTTGATGACGCTGTGAAGACGGGTGGAACGATGGGAGACGTCGTTTTCACTATTAAGAGATGTATGGAATTCACGAATCGTGTTCACAGATGAGGTAATGAATTACCTGTACCTTCCGTAGTTATTCAAACAGCGAATAAATTATACAGAGAAAGCGAGCAAAGAACATTTACATTGTCAAAGAACTTTATGACTGATTTCAGTCTAGCGCGAGATTAAGCACTTTCAAAAAACTCCCCTTATAATCAGTAAAGCTGTCTATACACTGATGAATGAATCGCTTACTTACATCATACATACATCTGCACTTGTTTATGATGAGAGAATTCGTGAGCTGAATTCAGTCAGCCTGTCAGCACGCGCGCACACTCAACAACGTTTCAGCGATGACTCATCTGAACGCCTCTGATTGGCCATTGCACTCATAAGCTCAACAGACTCGTGTGTGAATTATTATAATGCGGAACACTGTACGAGTCATGATTCAACATTGAGCATATAAATTTAATGCTGCAGTCAACACTTTTCATTTACTTTAACTGTGCAGCGGCATTTTTGTCCATACTTGTAGCTTCTACAAGTGAAAACCAAGGATAGGTCGAATATTACGTCATTGATAGGCGACCATGACCATGGAGGAAGAGGGACGAGCCAATTTTTAAAACGGGAATTTCTCTGGATTTACAAATTCTTAGTAATTTTTGGAATAACGTAAGTACACAACTGCTTGAAATATATACACACATAACACTGTGCAAGTGGTTTTTGGATATTTTATTGCAAAAATCTCGTGAGCTGAATTCAGTCAGCCTGTCAGCACGCGCGCACACTCAACAACGTTTCAGCGATGACTCATCTGAACGCCTCTGATTGGCCATTGCACTCATAAGCTCAACAGACTCGTGTGTGAATTATTATAATGCGGAACACTGTACGAGTCATGATTCAACATTGAGCATATAAATTTAATGCTGCAGTCAACACTTTTCATTTACTTTAACTGTGCAGCGGCATTTTTGTCCATACTTGTAGCTTCTACAAGTGAAAACCAAGGATAGGTCGAATATTACGTCATTGATAGGCGACCATGACCATGGAGGAAGAGGGACGAGCCAATTTTTAAAACGGGAATTTCTCTGGATTTACAAATTCTTAGTAATTTTTGGAATAACGTAAGTACACAACTGCTTGAAATATATACACACATAACACTGTGCAAGTGGTTTTTGGATATTTTATTGCAAAAATCTTACATATTGTGTCTTTAAGTATATTTGATTGTGCAAAAGTGGAACTATTGCAACTGGTACACTTTAAATATCTTGCATTTAAAGATTGATATTATACAGGGATCATATAATCCTTATTAGTAATAATATTAAAACACATGTTAGGCATAATATTAAGAAATGTGCATTGTGCAATAAAGAAATGTTCCAAAATAAAGTTTAATAATAATTTTAAATCAGTACGTCTTAAGTGATATGTCAATAAATATATTAATGGTTTTAAAGTAAAAAAGTGAAAGTGACGTGACATGTGGCCAAGTATGGTGACCCATACTAGGAATTAGTGCTCTGCATTTATCCCATCCAAAGTGCACACACACAGCAGTGAACACACACACACACCGTGAACACACACCCGGAGCAGTGGGCAGCCATTTATGCTGTGGCGCCCGGGGAGCAGTTGGGGGTTCGGTGCCTTGCTCAAGGACACCTCAGTCGTGGTATTGAAGGTGGAAGAGAGCGCTGTGGGGTTCGGTGCCTTGCTCAAGGGCACCTCAGTCGTGGTATCGAAGGTGGAAGAGAGCGCTGTACATTCACTCCCCCCACCTACAATCCCTGCCGGTAAGAGACTCGAACCCACAACCTTTGGGTTATGAGTCCGACTCTCTAACCATTAGGCCATGACGAAATTGTTATTTTAAATTGCAATACTATTTCTCAATGATACTGTTTTTACTAATTTTTTTGATCAAATAAATGAAGCCTTGGTGAGCACAAGGGACTTCTTATGAAAACATTTAAAATAACAATGGTATTTACTATTAAATCCATTTGATATTTTTAGGTATTTTGCTTGAAGTGAAAACTAACCTGTGCAACCTGTCAAACCTGTGTAGACATTGTAAAATGCAACCAATTTTTCAGCTTCACTAAGTCAACATCCTGCAATTTACAAACACACGAGCACCCCACACATCGTCTCCATTCGAGGAATTGTGTTGATTTAACTCAGAACCTCAATAAACCGAATCCCATGTGTTTTTGAGGGCCTAAAGCTTTGCAAACTCCATTAAGACTAAGCAAACCTATAAGAAAAATATCATCCTCTGTAACACACACTTCAGTCAATAGCTCTGGGTCCACTGAGACCAGGAACTAATTTAGCCTCAAAGTGACTCAGGCGTCTACATCAATAGTCATTTTCTTAATAAATAATGAAATGATTGTGGATATAGAGACTGTTTTTGAAGACCTATAATCTCAAACACCTGGACTCTTTCTCTTGGTCTTTCTGACGTACAAAAGCACCTTTGCTGATTTGGGAAATGAAGCCTGTCCCATCAGATGCTGTTGGTTTAATCTGTGTTGATGGGATACCATTGGTCCCTGTGGTGAATTTCTTTATTAACTAACTTCTTTGGTTTCCTGCCTCCAACTAGCCTCTTATATTTCCTCTTTATTTCTTTCTCCTGCCAACTAGGCCAGTCATTTATATCCATCTTTTCCTTTTAGTTAATGAGGATGATGTGACACGAGGGCAGATATTTTGTTTCAACTGTTATAGCCCATACAGACATTTTCAAAATATGTTATCTTATGTGACCCACAGAAGAAAGTCATATAGGTTTGGAACAGCATGACTTTTGAGTGAACTATCGCTTTAACATTATATGTGTTTACAAGTGACCCCTGTGCATCATTGGTGCATATTTTCCACAGCGTGCCGCTTATTTACTGAAATGAGACATAAATGACTGAATGAGAGTAGCATAATGATACAATCAAAACCTGACAGCAATCAATCACGGAGTCAAGCACCCATGCCGGCATTACACACTCACAAGCACACTAAGATGGATGAACAGGCACACTCACCTTTCCCCTTTGTTATCACTCACTTTCCATTTGTAGCTACTGCTGCTGTGCTCTTCATGTGGCAGATTCGCTTCACTCTTCAGTTCTTCCTCTACCAGCTGTGAAAAGCCTACGCTGTTCCAGCATTTTAGCTCATGTCCTTCAGGACCTCAGAAACTGACACTCGTAACAGAATGGATGAAATAGTAATAAGTCTACTATTTAGTCATTTAGCTGATGATTGTAACCATAGCAACACTTATAACCAGTGGCATCTCCAGGCTTTTTTTTTTTTTCCTGGTAGGGTACAGACAATTAGCTGACTAACTAACCCTGTATGAGTTATTCACAAATGACACTAGTTATTTCATAGTAATCAAAAACTGAATGTAGATTAAGCAATGGAAATATCCACATTGGCCTACGGTGGTTTATATTATCTCATAACTGATGAACAAAACCAAAATCAACTGAACAATGGCAAAAGACAAATTATTAAAAACACTTTAAAAGCAATAACTTGAAATGCATTTGGATGAAATCAGAGTGAAATGTTCACTTGAAATAAAGAGAAATTGAAGTTGATTGTTCATTTGTGCAAACTTGGCAGTGATTTTCCTATTGAGATCTGGCAGCTCATGCATGAATTCATTTTCATTTGAAATCATAGCGAGGGCATTGAGCCTCTCTTTACCCATGGTATTTCATTTGAAAAATTTTATGAAGAGCTTTGACCATGTTTACATGCACAATACTATTACAATATGAAGCTGAATTTGGTCATATTTTATCAGTGTCAAACACACATTTTATGAGTTTTGCTTTTACAAATATTAAAATAAATTTACTTAAATCAATATATAACAGTCTCATATCTAAAAATGATTACTGGCCTAGATTTTCCAATTCCACCTTCATTCTCATCTGCTATTGGTAAGGACATGAATGAGAATAAAAGTGAAAAAAGTACTCAAATGTACCATAATAAATGGAGGAAATGTCTCGTGAGCACCATATTATCAAGCACATTAAAAAACAATTCTGAAGGATCATGTGACACTGAAGACTGGAGAAATGGCTGCTGAAAATAAAGCTATGCCATCACAGGAATAAATTACATTTGAAAATATATTCAAATTGAAATCAGTTATTTTAAATTGTAATAACATTTCAAAATATTCAAAATCTTTTTAATGGTAGAACACAATGTATATAAACATTAACTGTATTAAACAGTTTGTTTAAGCAGCATTTGCTGTAGAAACGTCACTACTTATTACATGTTCAGTCTTTCTGAATTTATCTGGTTTTAAGCGTCCTGCTCATGGCCTCTTGATGGGTTTGAACCTACAACCTTTCAATTACCAGCGCAGTTTAATAGGCTACCACAGCCCAATAATAATACTAATAATTGTGTGAGCTATTAGCAAAAGTATGCTGTTCAAATGCATGTAATTCTACATTTGTTCTGTGTGTCACGCATCTGCTTATTAATAGGTCTGCATATTTTCACAGCCAAGAGTCACACAGAGAATGTTCAGCTAGTGACAAGGAAAGCACATCAGTGGGGTGATGAAATGAAAGGAGGAGAGAGGATTGGAATAAGTCGTGATGGACACATTCCTCTCGTTAAAGGAAAAAGAAAGTAAGTGCAGGCAAGACAGAGAGATGGGATTGTGACAGGGGAGATGAAGGGGGGATGTCACCCCAGGAACATCACACCCAGCTGTGACAGCTGGAGACGGATGCTCAAATAGCAGTCATGTTACACGCGCACACACAAATGTATATACACTATATACACTTCTCTTTTCCTCTAAAACGTGCCAGGAAGGTGAAGTTTCAGACATCTTTATGTGAGCTGTTTTACTCTGACAGTGGTACCTGCTGCAGAAGATGATCACATGACAGCATTTGATGCCACATGCAGTTAAATCTTAACTGATTTCAGTTACTGTAATTCATTTTTGTGGAACAGTATTTATTATTAGTGTTTTAGTCATAGTTTTTGACAAATATATATTTTAATTTAATCAATATTTTGTCATGCTAATCATTCATTTTAGCCAATTTTACTTTAAAATGGCATCTGCTTTATGTTTTGTACTGTTTTGATGTCAGAGTACAAATTATAGACTAAGTAACAAATTCAATTTTGACTAATTTTGAAATTGTGCTTTTGTCTCAGTTATTATGAAGTGAGTCATTTAGCAAAATACACTTTTATTCAAAGTGACTTACAGTTAACTTATTACTAGGACAGTCCCCCTGAAAGCAACCCGAGGTTAAGTGCTTTGCTCAAGGGCTCAATAGTAATCGCTCATGGACAGGTGCGTAAATTTCATCTAACAGTTGGGGGGGGGACAATAAACATACAATTTCTCAAGAGCAATTTTTGAAGAGGACACAAATAATACAGCTAAAATTGTACTTGTAAGGATAAGTATACATAGAGGAAAGCCTTACTACTATTTGTTTAGCAGGGAGCCCGTGCCAAATTAGACAACTTAAAGCTGTTGTGCTCGCGCCACGACAGCGGTCAAGTCCGTTGTAGACGTTACTATCTGTCAAGAAGGTAACATTATTATTGCTAACATAACGGACTCATCGAAAAATACATTGGAATCATGTGTATTAAAGAGAAAATAATCACTTCATCCAATGTTTAAGTGAATAAAATAGCCTTGACAGCCTTACTTACTGGAGTTCCACAACTATTGACTTTGTTCTCGCTCACCGGACTTATGTGTAGGTGATGCAGGGTTGCCAGGTTTTTGCAAAAAAAACCCCGCCCAATTGTTACTCAAAACTAACCCAACACTAGCCCAATTGCATTTCGAGGGGGGTTTCCCAGTAAAATTTGCATTCCAGGGGCTAAATATCACGTTATTGGGGGCACCACTGGTTGGCCAAAACTGAGGTGATGTAAAAGAGGAAAGCAGGCATTTGGACCAAAGTACTGTGAGGCAAGGGAGGGGGAAACTCAAAATGTTTCTAAATTTAAAACTCATTTTTGCCCCATTTGCGTTTGTGTTGTTTTATTACTTACAAAGTTATTTAAAGTATAAAACATTGTTATTTACAATACACAGCGTGGTTTTTAATCATAGAGGCCCGTCTCCAATCCCTCAGCTAAATTGATATAGACATCTAAACTTCTCAAAGCCAGATGACTATTTTCATTTAATTCATCTGAATTAAATGCAGCCAAACAACCAGACAAGTGAAACACGGTCTGGACGTTAAGCGGAATATTATAATAATATATCCAATTTAAAAGAATCGTGAATAATACCTTGCAAACACATTAATGCGATTACATGTGGTCGGAGGAAAGAGAGAGAAAGGGAACCTCCCGTCTGCTCACAGTTTCCCCCCGGCATTATTTTGTTGCAGACCTGTTATGCACGCGTTGCCGAGATCTGAGCCACTTGATTCTATATTGCATAATACTTTCTTTCCTCAAGAATAAATGCCAGTGGGAGCAGAGCTAAACATTCCAGAGTGCACATTTGTACACGTTGGGACATTTTATGAATTAGCACAGTCAGCCCCCTCAAGAGCTGACAGTGTGTACTCCGCTCCCAAACAAACCACATGAATCATGTGTATACCCAGCCATGATGTAGTGAGGGCAGGGAGAAACAATTGATCTATAATGCAGTCTGCTCATTTGCAAGTGTTTTGAGGTGTCAATCACCGCTGTGCCTCAGCAACAGTGAGACCGGATCCTCAAGGACCACAAACATGGACACACTCAAACTCAAAGTGTGCCCAGCGGGAGCGGAGCGTTCACAGGGGGAGCACAATGCACAGAGTCGGCCCCCTCGAGAGCTGACTGTGTGTGCTTCGCTCCCAAACAAACAACACAACGATCATATGTATTTGCAGCCGTATTATTTAGCATGGGAAGGGAAGAACACACAATCTAAAACGCTGCCTGTTTTTCTTGCACACCATTGTTGTGACTGGACTATGCACTGGCACAAACAAACAACAGATATTTCAGACTGACACACACAGAGCGCTTGCTGAAGACACAGAAGCTAACGCTGTTTGTTTCGGATTTGCTTTTAAGCTTCCTGGTCTCTACATCACCCTGCCCATGACGTCTTGCCATTCCATTGGACTGATTTCACACATTTTTCAGGACACGGTCACCAGGGGCGTAAATTTCCTCTAACAGTTGGGGGGGACAATAAACATAAAATATCTCAAGAGCAATTTTTGAAGGGGACACAAATAATACAGCTTAAATTGTACTTGTAAGGACAAGTATACACAGCCTTACTAGTGCAGCAGGGAGACCGTGCCAAATTAGACAACTTCAAGCTGTTGTGGTTGCGCCGCGACAGCGCTCGTGTCCGTTGTAGACATTACCATCTGTCAAGCAGGTAACATTATTATTGCTAAAATAGCAGACTCATTGAAAAATACATTGGCATCATCTGTATTAAAGAAAAAATAATCACTTCATCCGATATTTAAGTGAATAAAATAGCCTTGACAGCCTTACTTACTGGAGTTCCACAACTATTGACTTTGTTCTCGCTCACCGGACTTATGTGTAGGTGATGCAGGGTTGCCAGGTTTTTGCAAAAAAAACCCCGCCCAATTGCTACTCAAAACTAACCCAACACTAGCCCAATTGCATTTCGAGGGGGGTTTCCCAGTAAAAATAGCATTCCGGGGGTAAAATACACGTTTTTCGGTGGGGTTCCTCCGGTAAAATTTGCATTCCAGGGGCTAAATATCACGTTATTGGGGGCACCACTGGTTGGCCAAAACTGAGGTGATGTAAAAGAGGAAAGCAGGCATTTGGACCAAAGTACTGTGAGGCAAGGGAGGGGGAAACTCAAAATGTTTCTAAATTTAAAACTCATTTTTGCCCCATTTGCGTTTGTGTTGTTTTATTACTTACAAAGTTATTTAAAGTATAAAACATTGTTATTTACAATACACAGCGTGGTTTTTAATCATAATTTTAGGGGGGCAACCCCCCCTTATCAGTCCTTACACAACACAACACCATGCATGTTGTTTTGTCATTCACTGAAACAAACATATACCATAAACATCTTAGGAGAACATTTTCAAAATGAATGTCTTAGTGCAGGGCTGTTGTTGAAATGGTTCTGGTCCGCTGAGGCATAAAAGGGTTAAAGATGGTCTAGACTGCTCACTGAAGTGGTAATGACAGCTTTGGTTCTCTGCGCTAGCATCTGAGCTGCCAGTGGGTGGCAATGCTCTAAATAGCAGAAAACACATGCGATCGCTGACGCTGAGAATAAACAACATACAGTGAGCACGATTAGGTTTAAGTTTAAGTTGGAAAGTTACTATGTTTGTCCGCACATACAGATACGCTCACACACGCATACATAAAGGAACTAATGACATTTAGTCTCTTTTAGTCGTCTTCTTCCCAATTTCGCTGTCAATCCAGTTAGTTTTTTTGTTCCTTAATGACATCATCCTCCACGAAGCGACAAACAACAGCACAAACACCTAAAGCGGGTTGCACCTCATCTGTATTCTCTGTTCTCGCCCCAAGTGTCCTGCAGGAATACAGTACAACACAGCCAGGCTGGCACTAAGATGTCAGTCTTGCATAGCCAGACATTTAACTAAACAGCAAAAGGTCTGACCATACTGCAGCTTATTCTAGCCAATAACCCTCCTTAGAGAGGAAGAAACCAGCTGACTGACATGCACTCTATAGTGACCAACAACAGTTTACGTGGTGTTTAGGGGTGAGTTTATTTGAATTAGATTATAGAACTGTGTAATTCCTGTCCAAAGGTAATAAGTACTATTACTATATGATTATTTCTCAGTCAATATGTATTGTACGTTGCTGTTCAAAAGTTTAGGGTCCGTAACATTTTTTTAAATGGCATCTCTTATGCTCACCAAGGCTGCATTTATTTGATAAAAAACACAGTAAAAACAGTAATACTGTTACTGTCACGGGATCCTTCAGAAATCATTGTGATATGCTGATTGTTCAAGGAACATTTCTTCTTATTATAAAATGTTAAAAAGAGTTTTGCTGCCTAATATTTGCGTGGAAACTGTAAAATATATTTTTTCAGTTTCTTTAGTTGATATTAGGTTTAAAAGATCAGTATTCATTTGAAATAGATATTTTAGAAATTTCTTTTTTTAGCAACTTTGTTTCCAGGTGGACTGATAAAAAACTGTTACTTTCTACCTCTTGAGACTGATTAACGCCAGCCAAGCAATACCTGCTGTAAATATTTGAAATGACGAAAAACATGCAGCAGATTTATTGTGGCTGTACAATGGCCTTAATCAAACTATTAATTATGAAACACCTGGAAAGACAAGTGCATAGGGAGTAAAAGAAAAGACCAGGAGTGGATTAAAATGCATTTAAAGTGGGCTTTTAGAAGCATAATTATGCATTTATCATGTGAATTCTCATTGAATGAATATAACTAAACTCCTTCATGAATATTCAGCATCAGTTTTGAGCTTTCTTCTCAGGGTTCTCAAGATTGGTGCAAATGCGTCATACGCTTGCAAATGTGACTGTTTTACAGATCTTTAGATTCACCAGTGCTTAACTAATCTTGCTGTTTTCTTCTCTCTGGAAAGTGAGAGAAAAGTGAGTTTAAGAAGGAAAGGAGAGAGAGAGAGGTTGTACACATACACACACACAAATAATTTTCGATGTGCTCACCATGATTGACTTCATTTACCTCTGCCACAGAGACAGCCAGCAGGTAAATTTGGAGTGGAGGAAACCGACACTCAATCTAAAATAATAATAAAATTAATAAATCTGTCTCTTCCTCACTCCCTCTACACGGAGGTATTGCTTGTTATGCTAATGTAGGTTCCCTCATGCACAGGCGTCGGGTCTGCAAGACATAAAAGAAGCTGCCATGGTAATAAAATCGCTTTAATTTTCCTCTGACATTTCCCTTCCTCTCATCATCCCAATGGCAAAATCACAGATACACATGCAGAGCAAGGCAGCAATCAGACGAGAGCCTTGATACCCGCAACCTACAAAACTGGAGTCATACTACAATAAAACTGGATTCAGTGTGAACATGAAAAGGTCATGATAGTGAAACAACGAGATGCTGAATAATGATTGTCTCTACTAAATCTAATTCTTAAAACACCTTTTGATGTGTATCCTTTAGTTTATATGGGCACAGATGTGCATGAGTGTGAGGTTTTTTCATTTTTGAATGATACATCTATTCCTTTATGAATACAGTATCACAACAAACTTCCTGGTCTGTCAAGGAGAAAGCATGCATATCTCAAGAGAACAAAGAACACTGTTGTCTTTTCATGTGTTTTTGACATGCGGCTCGTACAGTTAACACACCCCTTCTCTTCTGTATCGCTGTCATCCCACACAAACTTCACTCACTACTTCACTGTAGAA